AACACACATCCTTTCAGTAACTGCAACCTCACTCATGTTACTAGCCCTCACCCACACGCATCGGCAAAGACTCTCTTCCCAAAGTCTGTATTTCCAGCTGTACTTTGACTTCTCCATCATTAATATGTATGTATGCATTTACAGATTTGTCCACACATTTACAAATCTCAATACATTTGCAAATCTTAATACATATTTGTAGATATTTGCACACATTTTGATTGAGAAACAGTTACACAACTCTGCACGTATATTTGTAAATAGTTTTCCTACAATAATAGTTCCATAAATGTCTTTATTTTTCTTATTTTCTCTATTGTATATTAACTATTGCTATATTACTACTATCGCTTTAATAGAACAAAAGTGTTTCCTATCCAGTTACTCAATTAATCGATGGAGTAATCAATAGAATACTTGATTATGATGATGAGCAGTGAGCTGTTATTGGCCGACACATTGGTGGAGCTCTAATGTGAACCTCTTTCTACGGTCTCATTATTACACATCCTGCTTTCTTATGTCAGATTTCTTTTCATTCGAACTTTTCATTCAAACTTTTCATTTCCAACTATATTTTCATGCTCGCAGTGATTTTAAAAGTGGTTAATTTGTCATTTGTAGGTGCTTCTTGGCAGTTCAATCAAAATACAGCAGGCTGTCAAATTAACCTTGAGGACAGCGGGCCTGTATTGATCTGCATGTAGATGTGGATTTGCCAAGCCCTGACCTTTACCACAGGATTTACTAAGGTGTCCTCCAGTGCCCTCAACCTCATCTACACCCCTCAAATTATACATTCAAATTAGGCAAAATCTCATCCTCATCATTCTAGAGATCCACCTTCTTCTTCCTTGAATTTGGATATGTGCAGATACCGATACTGATACCACTTAGTTAAACTGGTTGTATTTTATGATGCAGCACAACTTCCCCCCTCAGAATGTCGGCTTTACACCCTTTACAAGTTGCTTTTCTGTGTTTCGAAACTAAAATATCTTCCAACTAAGGACTGTTGAGTTAGCCAACTGTTTCTAGCTCACTCAGTTTCAGTCTCATGTTACATTACGGCGGGCTCATGGTCGAACTCATAAAATACTGGGAGACAATAAATATGAGAACTACTAAATATTTAATTCCGTCTATAACATTTTGGCTTAAACTTGTGTTATTATAGAATCTGAATCGGTACATGGATCAATGCAGGGTTTCCACATGGAAATTCAGAGACTAGTTTTCCAGTCATGGAAACACCTGGAAATTGATTAAAAAGACCAAATATCCTGGAATTTAACTACGTTGTCCTGGAAGATTTCACTCGATCAGATTACACAAACCTAGGTGCGTATTTTGTTTGAAACTTGACTGTCGGTAGGATAATCTGCATTGTCTAAAACATCTAAGCAGGTTTATGATCAAATTTACTTTTGTTGTTTGGCTTAAAGGTGAGAAGATGAATTTGCTGTAAATAAATTCTACTTGATTTGAACTGTTATTGATGCTCTTCTGAGGCCGCGAGCGTGTCCCTTAAAATGCTGACTGCCCTTCTGAGAAAGTGCTGTCTTGTATTGTGAAGAAAATGTCCTGGAAATGATTTCTTAAAAAGAGTGAGAACCCTGTCAGTGATATCAGTCAAATATCCAATATGTGTCACCTGATACCGATACTGGATCAGATCGTTCCCGTCTCTAATTATTTATTATATCTCCGTCTTTTATACCCACCCAGCCTGTGCTGAGCTGTACACTGTTGGGTTCAAATAAGGTCCTACTGTGATTAAGAGGAATCCTGTTAAAGCTCCTTAAACAGGTTACTGTGGCATTGAAACGTTGCGGTGAGGTAAAGCAACTCGTTTAAGGTGCAAAATTAAGTGTTTCGTCCACTAGCCAACTAGCTAATGAATGGCTCAATAGATTACCTTTGTTTGTTGCAGGATTTAGTTACTCCATGTAGTTTTTTATTTAAAGTTGGATGTTTTCTGCACTTTTCATATTGGACGAAATTTTTACATTTTTATTTCACAGCTCAGAAAATATTAGTAATGTTAAGTACATTTTATCGGTGCTTCCTTACAACATTAACAAAAACACGGTTGTAGTACAAACAAATATATTGAAGGGATAGCTACCCTAAAGGAAATGGTATTGTTGAAACTCTTTCTTTTTGATAATTGATTAATTGTTTGACTAATATTTCAAACAAAACTGCAAAAAATCTCAGTTACAGCTTCTCAGTTGTAAAAAGTTGCTGCTTTTCTTCTTTTCTTTGTCTTGTGTCAGTGATTCCCAACAAAGGCTCACAGGATAAATCTGAGGGGTTCATAAGAAGCTTGATGTTTGACAACAAAACAACAAAGTTCTGCTACACAAACTGGAATTATTGTATCTTTTTGCATGAAATATCAGATAGTTTTACGTCTTCGTTCCTGGAAAATGTAATACATAAGATGATATGGGAAGTTCAAACAAACCAAACATTAAAACTCTTCTGAAAATGTCCTCCAGGATGATGAAAATCTGTGAATTTAGGCCTTAGAAGGCATTAAAAAGTCTTTTCACAAGCATTTTTCACTATTTTCTGACATTTTATAGCCCAAACAACCCCGCCAAACACTGAGAAAATACTCAGCAGGTTAATCAATAATGAAAATAATCATTTGTTGTATCTGTAGCTGACACACTTATATCATATGTAACATCATATCACCCAACCACGAAACATAAACTGTGTATATTCAGTCGAGTGCAGCCATGCTTGAAACATCGCTGTTGAGGCGTTCAGTGACCTGAGAGGCTTTGAATGCTTGTAATAAATCTCTGGTCCATTGTCAATAGTTCTGGCTCACAGAAGTATTGATTATGAATGAAATGTTAGGTTGTATGCAAATTGATGACCACGGAAAGTTCAGCCATGAATAATTGTTCTCATCTGAAACACATATCGACTGTTTGACACTTGTTGATTATGGTGCTCGCAGTGTGAATGCATCTAATGAGCAATTTCTTTTAATTATCAAATATTTAAAATAATTGATTAGCTATGCAGTCTATAAATGTTCATAAATTAAGAGTAACTCCCTATCACATGTTTTCAGAGCTCAAAATAAAGTCTCCATGCCAGAATATTAAAAGTAATCATGTCGTCTGGATCAGTAAATGTCTAGGGACAAATACATTACCAGATGCTTCTGAAGCCTGTTGATCTTAATGTCTTCATTAAAAATTCATGAAAGTGACACATCTGACTGATGGTTGTGAAGCATTATTAAGCTCTTTCTTTCCTGTTTGTGCTCAAGAATAAAGATAAAACTTCATGTTTTAAACTGCTTAAAACTCCACTAATCAATACTTTAATATAATGACTGAGACTTAGCATATTGAGCCTGATACCAATATCGCAATATTTCACTACTATTGTTAAAAGAGCACCAATTTATGATAAAAAAAAGTATTATATATCATTGGCTGAGCAGTTTTAAGTCGTCCATAGCGGGAAATAATGGCGGCTTGCCTGGTCACGCACCATCTCGTATTACAGCTAAACAGTTCACTAAAATATGTTTGTGAAATGATTTTAGTAGAGAAACAGTCAACGCAGTAGAATCTGGATCCATATCTGATCAGCACTGCCTAGTTTGACAGTTTAATCTGAGTTTGGTGCGTTGAGCTGGATGGACTCACTGAGAATGAGCTGTCAATCTCTAATGCATCATTTACTAAATTAACATCATGCTGTATGGAAGAAGACTTGAAACTAGAGACTGAGACCATAAACTTGTTAGGAAACTGTTTACTGAGCTCATAAATCAACTGAGAAGTCGTCTCATTTCTCCCTAAGACTGAATGGTATCGGAGCTGCAACCCTGATGGCCATTACACAGAATGCAGGTGATTCGCCACATGTTCACACAAGTCCCATGGCTCTCTAGTGTTTCGCTTTCAGGAGTGACCCTGTTAACTGCCGACTTTCAGACGAGTATTTTAACGAACTGCTGACTTTATTCGGATGAAATTCGCCCGTTAACAGGGTCACAGACCCAGGAGGCAGGAGGAGGGAGATGCAGGTGATTATTACAAACAGGTACTGATATAAAACATTATCCTGTCGTACTTGTTACAAAGTAGTTTGCAAAAAACAACAAAAATTGCAGTACTACCGCATACCTCGCCGTTGAGTCCGTCTAAATCATCACATGGGAAATTCATTAACTGTGGGTTGCTGGTTTGATAGCTCCTTTAAGGACAGGGACTCCAATCAGAGAGTTTAGTCCAAATAAACTAAGGGGGAGCAGTAGACCTACTCCACACAGCTCCCACTGGAGCCACAGAAGACTTTATACAACTTTCACATGTGCAGTGGTACAACCCGCCTAACGCCTGGAAACAGAATCGATATCGATGACTGATAACAATGGACGATCATGTATCCTGGAGGTAATAATGAATAAATAAATAAATAAATAAATAAAATTCAGGTTAAAAGGTCAAAATGTTTGTGTTTGTTTCAGTATCGATTATCCCTTCAATAGCTCCTTCTTAGTTTGCCTTCACGCTGACGCACCAGTCGCTCTGTAAGCCCCACTAGTACTGAGCTGATCAATGTGTACATGGCTCCTTTAATGCACAGCAGTGATAATTAGGCCCCGGAGGATATCAATGAATTGACAGATTAATCATTTTGACCCAGTGAATCCGGGCTGTGCTCAAGGCAGCGGCGCACATCGACTTCCTATTTCCACTGAGAGCTTTCACTCTTAAGGTATTAAAGTCTGCTGGATTCTGCTCTCAGTCAGCTTTGTGTGTGTGTGAGTGGAAGAGCAAAGGTGTGAGGAGGAAAATTGGTTTCAGAAATGCCAGGGGAATTTACTTGTTGACGAGACAACCGGGTTTCTGTGATGAAATACAGTGTTCATAAGAATGTGTGAGTGAAAGTGTGATGCTATGATGTCTACATGGGATAAGTACTGAACAGCTCTCGTCATCCCGGTTTGTGTCCTTCAGGGCTGCAGTATGTTCACTTCAGTGAAGGCCTTCGAGGGGCAGCAGTACTCCACCCTGAAGAGGCAGTGCTTGCAGAGTGGCCTACTCTTTGAGGACCCCCGCTTCCCCGCCATCGACGACTCGCTCTTTTACCAGGGCAACAGGATCGGACGTGTGGTCTGGAAGAGGCCTCGGGTGAGTCGGTTTGTGCAGTGGAAGAGTTTCAACTGATTAAAGCTGACAGATATTTATGGTTTGAGGCTGTTGATTGCTGATAGAGATCTTTGTGACCGTTATCAGACGCCAAAAGTTCCAAAATAAGAGCAATAGGTCAGTATGTTGGTTTGTTTTTGACACAATTAAAGGGTCGGAAACTATGTTTATCTGTACCAGCACTGCTGATGGGTTCCCAAGTGTGTGGGACAAAGTGACAATGGGTCCTTTTTATAATTGGAGATTTAAAATTTTAGATGTTTTTTATTTTATAGTTTATAATTCGCCAAAGCATTAAAGGGCCAGTCTGTAGGTTGTAAAGCAGTGGTCTCAAACTGTTGGCCATTTCCGGCCCTTCATCTCCCACAAAATCTATCCCGAAGTTTATTATCATTATTATTATTTTCTAGTTGTTTCATGTCTGTCTATATGTTGTTGTTTTTTTACATCTCTATTGAAGAGTGTGCTGTTTTAGTTTGAGAACATGACTTATTGATTCCACGTTCAGATTTCTGATGCTTTCCCTCAAAACTCAAACAGCCCCTGTTTGTGCTCGGACTGTTTCTGTGCGCTCACAAAATGTCTGCTCTATTTTTTTTGTGTGCAATGACTTTGAATGACCCAGTCAAAATCCCCCAACCAATAGGATGCTAGCCTTGTTGTTGGTGTGTTCGCTTTACTTCTAAGAGCGCCTCGTATGGGCTCGTAACTGAGTTCATCCACTCCCGCCCTCTGTGGCTTTTTATACAACTGTTGGAATAAAAGGACAGTTTATTATATATACTGGTGCAACCACATACTGTATAAATAGTTAAACAGCATTACTTGCATGGTTCAGGACAGAGTCTAGCAGATCGCTGACAAACATGGAAGTTTTATATTTGAATGGTTGCATTCACTTTAAAACAATTGGCTCTTCAGCGCTGCAGACACACTGAGCTACTGAACGTCAAAAAAAGCTGTCAAAAACAGCAATCACCCAACCCTACATCATACCCTACTTATACTTAGTCACTTCATGCATCTTAGGCAAATCAGGTAGCTATGCAAAGTCTAAATACATCATGGCAACATTCAAGATGGGTTGAAATCAGATTGCTCAAACCCTCAAGAGATGGTTTCAGATACATTCTAGCCAGATGATGAGACCTTTGTGGATTATTCGGAGAGATGACTGCAATGACGGCGATGGTGGTAAAGACCATCATCCTTTTTTTTTCTTCCTTCATGGGCCCCTGACGGCGTCAATATTTATGCCATTGACTCCCATGATCCCACGCTGCTTCATCATCAAACCTTGTCTTTTGTTATTGTTTTGTAGTCAGAGACCCCCTGTTACATTACATATTGTAGGTTTAACGGGTTGTGGACTGGACCATTGATCTAAACAAAACTGACAAAAGGTCAATCAGTGTTGTCAGTTAACCGTCTTACCAAACAAGCTGCAGAAATATAAGATCATTTTATGCAACAGGGCATACAGCAGAGTGGGGAGCACCTTTAAAACATTCCCATCAGGGAGCTCTTGGTGCCAAAGGTCCCTTCAGGACAGAGCTTTAACGACCTGTGACTAAATAATTTACCAAAAAAGAGCATATCATCAGCCACTGCTCCACTCCACTCTTTAGTCTTCTCGTATAAGCCGGTGCTGTATGTATGTTTCAGTGGCAGATGATATCCGATGCAGGGCCTCAGGATTTAGTGAGCTGACTCCCTCTGCCACTGTTATCCCCCTCACACAGCAGGCTGAGGCTCTGGATGGAGTAACCTCCTTCTGCCTGTGTGCCGCTGCAGCGACAGCCAGCGTGCATCGCCATGGAAACTGGGTCACACAGATTATATGTTTTGGTCTGTGCTGATGTCAGTCATGCAGACTGAAAACTGGAAGAAGTCAGGAGGAGAAAAAGCAGGAGGAGCATCCTTTTCATTTTGCGGCAGGACACGAAAGGACTCTCTGGTTTGTGTCAGGCACATTTTGACTCAGCATTTTCAGATTATTTTAGACTTTCTAAAGACTTATTGAAGCACATGCAGTAAACTGTATGGTGAGGGTGCTGTTGCTGAATTGAATTCTAAAGCTGCATATATTTTGTAGAGGCCATCGTTGCAAGCACAGGTTGTGAGGCGATAAACAAGGTTTGTAATAAGTTAAAATGGCTCTGTAAAGAAGTTCATTGTATGTGACATCCAGCACTGCACAGTTGTCAGCATCTATGTTTAACCAATACGAGGTGTTGAGGCCTGCTCACACCAGCATTTTAAATAGCGAAATCTTGCAGTAAAATCAACAAACATTCAACTTAGGTGAACTTTGGCCTGTAGTTCTGAGACTAGAGTTATGAGATTGAGCCAGAATATCATCCATAACATATCGGCCAACCCTCACTGAGACCGTAACCTCATTAGGAGACCTTGGAGGAGTAAACAACACAGTAAAGAGAAAATACAAAGAAGCTTGCGGAGCTATTCCGACTATCGCTGGCACGTCCAGGATAAAATAATGCACTTCTTGTTTTGACCAGGGCTTTAATAACAAAAGCTGAATGGAACCAACCAACAAAAAGGCAAATAAAATGTCACCAAAACTCTGCTTTCGTTGTACAAATTCACTGGAAACTGTAAACCCGTGCTGAATTTCTCCCTCTTGCTCCTCGTGGTTACTGAACACTCATTTAATTCAGGGGAGAGTGCATGATAATGAAGTTAGTACTTAGGGACAGAGTGGGTTTGAGGGGAATGAAATGTTCAGAACAATCAAAATTTAATGAAGCTCCTGACAAAAGCTCATTTAAAACTCACATACACGCTCAGTCTACAGGTACGTCTGCACAGTCAGCGCGTGAGTCCTTCTTAATACAGATTACGATGTGGTCACATCATTTGGGTAAGAATATTTGTGCGTGTGATTAGATTTATTTTCAGTGTTATTGAACAAATATTGCTCAATTCCTGTGGAACACATATAATCCCAAATGTATGGCTGAATTTCAGTTTATCAAGACTTTGGTTTCCATTAGATTGTCAAACATTAGCCTTTATTTGAAACTGGCTTACATTATAGACAGGCCTTTATTTATAATTCCCCCTGTTTTATAAGTATATTTGATCATAATTCTCCCTTTTTTCTGATTTGCTCCCATTTTAATTACTGATTACATCAGGCAACAACAGGGTCATGTCGTAATTATCAATCTGCTGTTTTGAGTTTCTATTCTGTAACAGAAATATTGTTTTCTTACATTTCTTTTTGCAATTGCTTCTGCTTTGCAGTTAGAACAGTGGTACCACCTGAAAGTCAGGCACACTACACCCTCACCCTGGGCCAGATTTAGGGATACAAGTTAATTTTCATCTGCAGTCCCTGTATGGAAACGTTCGCTCATTACTGTGCCAAGCAAATTGCAGATGAATTGGGAGTTCTCGAGGGCTCTCACAGGCTCATGCAGGGGTTGGAAGAGTGGTAAAAGGATAGCTTGCATGTTGAAAATTTGATAAAACGTTCCCCTGGGCTGCAATTGAACTCATGATACTTAAGGTCCATCCATTACCATCCGGGGTCAGGTCGCGGTGGCTCCTCCTGTGGAATCCTGATGTGTTTCCAGGCCAGATGATCTATACAATCCCTCCAGTGAATGATGGGTCTACCACGGGGCCTCCTACCAGTTGGACGTGACCGGAAAATGTCCAAAGGAGGGCGCTAAGGAGGAATCTTAATCAGATGTCTGAGCTTGTTTCGTAGGTAATTTAAGATCCAGGAGTCTGATAACTAAAGTCCTTCATTCACAGTTGAAAACGAACCAAAATGTGTCTTAAAACTGGATAAAAAGTAAATTTATGACAGTTTCTGACCACAATGCATGCACAAAGAGGATATGGCGCCATTGACAAGCGACCGGTGGAATGCATCTCAACAAAATATATAACATAGGGCTTGTGTTGAAAGGTTATAATGAGGTTATGATATACCAACAAATATGTAATCTGTTTGGGCTCTACATAAGTGTTAGACAGTTGTAGTGCAGTGGTTTAGATTTCCATAAATATTCAAATGTAGACACAAATTTCAGTGTTGTTTACAACTTCAATAGACAAAATGTTCTCCCTTTAAAAGCCTGTCAGCAGCAGTCTGATATGTAGTGGCGAATGGACGACGGTAAATCATCGCCATAGACTTCACATTTGTCCCTCATACAGCTTCTGAATCTTTATTCTCCACCAGCGAAGACATGGCAGGGAGGTTTTCTCAAAGACACCCAAACATCTCACCTAATTAAACCTGAACTGGATAACAAATCACTTTTAAGTTTGATGTTTTACTAGAACAGTAAAAAGAGTTTGAAACCTATGATTCATTTTGAAGTCATGCATTTATATAGAAACACTAATTCATGTAAAACTGGGACACTTGATTATAAATTAATGAAGAACCATAACCATTAGACTCAGGCCATCCATACCAATTTGTTCAGCAGCTTCTTAATGATTCCAAACTGGATCACCATTTTGACCTGATGTGAGAGGAACAGAAGTTTACAAAATCTCAAAAACTTTCCAGCCTCTACACCCGTAAGTAACAATATCCAAAACTTCTCCAGTCATGCAAGTCTTTTCTATTATTTACCACATGCATGTTTATTTAATTGAAATTCAGTCACGAAAACCAACAAGCGGACAACAATATCCCCACTTTCCATGGTTGTAGCAGCCTTCTGAGCATCCCTTTGGACTTCAAGCTGTTCTTCACTACTGTTTAACATAAAAAATAACATAATGTAAACATTAACTGTGCTAACATGGCTTGGTTTATAATATATTTGGAAGATGGAATAGATTTGTTGTGTTTCCCTTCTTGGTTTGCACCAACTGACGGCATATTTTACAGACCGTCTTATTCCGAGCATTGTCGCCTTTGAGATACCCAAACTATTTCCATGAAATTCTGTGGAAATTGGACATCCCGAAGGGCATTAACCTGCTTATAC